TATCAATCGAAAGGAGACTGCGACCACACCAGAGGCCACAACATCTTGGTCTTCATATATTCAATTACTATTACTAGTTTTGTCTATTCCACTCTACTGGAGGTTAAGGCTGTGAAAATTTATTGGCCATTTACTCACCCACTTCTCATTTACTTTTAAAATATCTTATTAAGACGGCCATTTGATTTGAGTTCGAAAAAATAAGAGTTGCAAAGCCTTTGTCATTCCTGGACAAAATGTTTGACTTCACTAATTACTTCAATCTTCCATGTATTAAAAAAATTTACTTTCTATATTAGCTCTGTATTTTACCGCACGCTTTCTATTTTCCGTTGTTATCACATTTTATTACTTTTATACAATATACTTTTTCTTTATAGCATAATTCAAGTGACGTTACACTGCCTTAGAGTTTTACTTGCCAAATTAAACTTATGGATCCTAGTGTCTGATATATAATTCAATTAATTACTTTGAAATAGATCTGATCCTAAAACTGATGGTGACTTACCCCCTAATTGATGTTTTTGATTATCAACAAAATCACCTTCGCTAATCACATTGCGTCGCTATGCCGTGTTAAGTAAATTACCTTAGATTAATTATAGACTGGAACTGATTGTAGCGATTAACGCATGCTTTTTACTATTCATGGGAGTCCCTACTATACCATACGACAAACGGTTCACCTTCCAAAACTCTTTAGCCCCGATATTTGTAGCCAACTGACTGTAGATATAATTTCGGAATGGTTCTGATGTTGCTGCTGTAATTTCTTATTTTAGCGTCTGGGTTACAATTTACTAAATAAATTTGCTAAGAAACTATTAGTAGATTTTGCATAATTGCCCAATGTATTATCAGAAATGGCCCAACTATAAAATTTAAACTATATGGGCGTAGGCTTTCATATCTGTGTAGTATATTTGTACTTACAGCGCAAAACTCGCTTTCGGCTCCAGCTAAGTGTGTTGTCTTAGGGAAACCAAATTGTCTAATAGGGCTTTCTATTCATTTAATTGTGGAAAATGCAACTATCGGTCCTTATGACATCTCATTAGATTTCATGGGACTAGATTTATTTGTGGGCTGTAATAGCCCACCTTTTTTAAGAAATTAATCTCTATAACGCATTATTGCTAGAGGCATGGCATGTAGCGGTCATATTTTCGCTTTTATAAGCTAATGCTTTGGTATCGAATTTCCTTTAGTAAGCTGGTGAGATATAACCGAACATGATTCTTTAGTCAACCTTTTTTAATTCACAGTTTACGAGGCACTTCATAACCAAACTTAGCATTATCAATCCATATTAGGCTTACAGTGGAAATGTTGTCGATTCCAATATTTACTACCACAGATTATTGTATATAATTTTAATGATTTCTGAAATAAATTTATCAAGCCTATTCGAATCGATCGCCAATTTAATATTTGACTTGGTTCCTATCCTCATTTTCTTTTTTCTTATAATAACTACTAAGTTTCATCTGCCTATATATCATTTATTTGCCCGTGATTCTGTTTTTGGCATTAGTCTCAGTATCTTTGCTATCCTCGAATACCTCATTAGCCAGTAGCTCAACCTTACTTTATTTCCAATAATTGCCAGTTAGCATTACAAGATCCTCCACTTAATGTTACGTATTCCCTATTTGGGCGTCTGCCTATTGTTTATTGTTGAAGGCTAAGAATCATTTAAAATAAATAATAGTAATTATTATTACTGAAATATTTTAAACCGATAAAGTATCAAATGTAATAGCTTTTTTCAAAATGATCCCGTATTTACCAAGTTCTTTAAATGTTTCTTATGATGCGCTTATACACTTTTTGCTCATCTTTTTATTTCTTGTTCTTATTTCTGCTTTGACTAGAATATCTACGTGGCAACTTCTCGCCAGCTAAAGCGTCTGATTTCTGTTACGCTTTCGCCGATATTCTCACATTTTTCAGAAACTCTTTCTGGGGTGAGCACAATTCGTGCCTACGGTCTTGGTGACCGTTATGCTCAGTTAAATGCCGCTCATTTAGACTTGAATAATTCCGCAAAGTTCGTGGCGATCATTACAAACCGGTGAGTTTTGGGCTTTATTAAAGATGATTTTTTATTAAATCTGAAATTTAACCAACATCAGAGTAGTAAATTTTAAGAAGAATTTTACTTTAGTTTGGAAAGCTTTGGTTTAGCTTCGTTAGTAACAACATGGTTTCGACGCTTTATATCTGAGTTGAAGATGTGTAACTATGTTTTTCCAAGCATCGAACCAAATCTTACTTTCACTTAAGTTCCTTTTTCAACATTTTGTGCTTTGACTTTATACAAATGTAACGTTTGCCTATTTTAACTTTGGAGGAAGTTTGAATACACAAAGGGATTCGATATTTGAAATAACATCACACTAGATAGTAAGGAATATCCGATTTAGCAATTATGATAAACCTAGTGTTATCCATATTTTGACGACTCCCAGAATAGATCGACTTCAAAAATATACCTTTTTGTTAATAAATAGGCCTCACTAAATTCGCTCAGAACTGTAATAAGTTAAAATAAACAATGGTATTAATGCCAAGATGTCGCCTTTTATATGGTTGCTGTCTCTTTTCCTTTTATATTAGTTGGCTGAACTTTTTTTCACAATCTGGTCATATTGGCAGGGAGATTTAGAGGAACGCCTTTAGTCCGGAGTCCATAGTATGCATGATAATTTCCAGAGTCGGACCGTGGACTTGGCGCATTCCCAGATGTTTCGCTGGTATCGTTAATGAGCCTAGTCACTCTTAGCACCACACTACAACTTGTCAAAATGACAGGTGAAGTCGATCTTTTGAAGAATTGTCTGCTAACCAGTTGTAGCATCTCTCTATCTGTCCTGGGCTATTCACCTATCACCCCTTTACTATCACAATTTCTTAAATGCCTATTTAAATGTGATATGGTGTGCCTATGAGACCTCTTTAAACCCCACTCCGGACAAGGTGAATCCCCTCAGAATATGACAAAGTTGCGAAAACGATATCAGGTCACTTTAATATATGTTTTTGTTACGTATAGCTAACTACATATAATCTCTATAACAGATCAGCGCTGGATAAATCTGGAATTGCTTAATTTAATTTCTTTATAATATCATAATTGCGTTTTGTTTATTTTCATTTTATTATTTTGGTTACATGCGTGGAACTCATTCTTACTACACCTTAGATGATCGAGAAGGTCGCTCATGTTAGCTGTAAATTTCTGTTATTAAGGTATACCATATTTTTATATCCAAGAATATAGGTATCTGCTGCATTTTTTTGATATTTTTCTCATATTCTTTACTTGTCGGATATCCATTTTTGCCACAACGCCCAATTGCATGTGCCATTACGGCTGATTGTGACCTGGAAATTAAGAATTCTCAGTGCATATCAACAATAACCGTGATCCTGTGTTGAAAGTACTGATTATAGATTATTAGATGGCTATAACTTATTAAAACTTTACAATCGCTACTGTTAGTGAGCATAACATTTATTCTTCACGTTAGGTCGTAAAACTTGTTCCATATTCTTTACACTGTCCTTATATATCTTTAGTACGTTTCCTATTGGCTTTGATCATCTCATTAGCCATCATACAGAAAACTTTAATTTAATTGATCACTAAACAATAGTATTATTTTATCTTTGTGATGAGTCGCTTGAATTCAAGAATAGTTATTATGTTTAATTATCGATATATGAATTCGTAGATTTTTTCGGTCCATAGTGGAAATGATTTTTAGCTTTTTCACTGTAATCTACATCGGAATATTGACTATGCATTTTTACAATATTTTGGAATGACATCATTCTCTGTGAAAGTTATATGTTTAGGCAGGAGGATGGTCTGTCTTCGAAATTGCGCCGTGAGTCTTTTTACACATGGGCCTTATTGGCACCTTTATTTGTGCCTTTGGTGATTAGTTCTTTAACCACGATTTTCTATACAAACAATGATAAATTTGAGCGACGACTTGAAGTTGGCTTTGTTGTGTAATTTGTTTTGCTTTACACTCTACCATCCATTTATCCATTCCTCGTCAAATTAAAGAAAATGTTTAAAATGAGATGTGTATCCTCATTTCCTGCTGTTTTGTTTCAATATCTAATTTTTCTTGCCATATTATAAGAAGAATATCACGATAGATGCTTGGAAAACATCTTTTTACTAATGTCAATCTTCTCCAAAACTTTGTATTTTCTATCATGCCTCATGTAAACATCGTTTCCACTTCAAATGGCAAGTAATTTGCATGGATTCATTTACAAACTCTTCGGTAACATTTAAGTCGGGAGAGCTCTAACTTGCCCCATAGTCACCATTTAAGTATATCTCGAAAGACTCTGATACTTAAGAAATATTGACTTTTCTATTTATTCGCTTTTTCTAAATACTTTGACTAACTTAAATTATTTTGAATATGATTATTATTTTAGTCTTAAAGCTGAAATATTTTTATCTTTACTTATTTTTATACTCCTACTAACTCCCTAATTCATGTATAGCTAAAAAGTCTAACTTTTGTATTCTCACTTTAAATTTTAAGCAACTGAATAGAAATCTTTTGAACTTTTTTTTCAAAATCATTTAAGAGACTATCCTAGGGATCTGAGACCAAACTATTCGTTTTAGCCTTAGGATCATCTTATTATCATTAAGATCCTCCATTATCGGTATCCTTGATGCTCAGAGGAAATAAAAAACTACCTTTTGGGTATTTTCGACTATACTATCTTTTTAAAAAGCTTTCCTGTGGCCCTCAGTAATCTAGGGCAGGCCTTATGTCAAAATCCTTCTGTTCTAAATGTAGATATGAAGTCCAAGATGGACACGAGATCAATTGGAAGACAACAAATAGAAGAGCTCCATGCGGTGAAAACACTAAGAAACTCAAGGATCGTGTCTCATTTAAATTGGGACATACTTCTTTTGCCCTATGTTAAAATAATTTTTTAGTTTTTGTCTGGTCCTTCTTTTTGGAAAGCGGGGAAATCGTCAAGACAACATCTCTGTACTCCAAGATTTATATTTTTATAAGCCTACTTCATCCTTGATATCGGCTGAAGCAGCATCATGGAGTCTTCTAACTCGTCTTCACGTGTGCTCGAAGAAATCAACCTCAAAGAAATCCAACTAGTATTTCGGCTTATTGAGCCATAAATTATTCTATTTTTATATATATAAAAAGCAAGATTTTGCAGGCCCTGCTTTTGTCACAATCTCATTACGCTGTATAGATGCACTTTTACCTATTTTGCGCAACTGTGCCTTGTTGTCAGGATGAGCTAGATGAGCATACCTTGTCCGAAGTCCTCTGCCCTAGTAGTTACAGTAATTACCAGCGTACCAAGTTCTCGGTACAATACTAGGAATTTTCCTAAATATCCTAGCAAAATACTTCGGACAAGGGGATTTCATCTAGGTCGCTCTGACGGGACCAAGTTGTGGATACCAGGCAAAACCTTAACTTCTAATTTATTGCCAGTTGCATTCATTAATTTAGGGGATCCTATTCTCATCGCTTATTTATGATCAATCTTTCAAATAGCAACTTAAATCTCATTAGGGGTGATAATGAAATGGCTTTAAAAGTTAAAAACATTTTATTTTCAGCACTTCCTTAAAATATCTTGATTATTTCACCTTAGGCTATGGGAATCGTGTAAGCTTATTTATATACTCTTTTTTTCTTACGATTTATATTTTTATCTCTGGTTCTCGCTTATTTGTACAACTCTAAAGATTATTATATAGCTTTTTATATTTTTCAAATTCATTTATAGTCGTTACCTACTTGACTACCTACATATCTATATTTTCTAAGTTCTTTCTGATGTTCTATGCATTTTTTCCTTATTTTCAGTTGGTTGTCCATTCGATTAGAATTCATGGGGAATCTCATTAGCATGCTTGTAGCTGCTTTCTCCGTTGCATCTCGTGGTCAGCTTACTGTTGGCTTCACTGGACTTGTTATCAGTTACACCTTTAACCTCACCCAATCGATGGGCCACTTGATCCGCTCCCTAGCCGATTTAGAGAATAATATTGTTTCTGTTGAAAGAATTAAGGAGTATTCCGAAGTCGTTCAAGAGGTGAATCTTTCTGTCTTTTTTCAGTTATTCATAAATTATTTTGCTGTTGCTCTATTGGATTCGCAAATTATTCTTTTTTTATTAACTCCATATCAATTTTTTTAATTGATCTACGCCTTTAGCTA